AATATGTTACAGTATTCTGTGCAGACCCCTTTTCACTGTCTGACACGTCTCGGCATAAGGATGACTCAGGGGCATCATGAATTTCTAACAACATGTCTTTGTCAGCTTGTCAATTTCATCGTTGTTAACCACTTCCGTCTCTTGCTTCAGAGATGGGCCATCACCTCTCTTCTCCTCAAACCATAACAATCCCCTTTTAACAGTAAGGGTGAAGAACTTAAATCTCTATAACGCCACCTCTGTGGAATGCCCAATTCAGCGAGTACACCTGTGATGTCATTGGGGAGGGTGGAAAACCCAGCCCACCAATAGTTCCCATACTTTCACGCCTGGGTTTTGCCTCAGTCTCAGCCAGAATGGATTTGCTCCACAGGGTTTCCCAGGACAGACTGTACATGCTCTCTGTTCTTGTCTGTGCACCTCCCGTTGCTGCTACTCTCTGAATTTTTTCCATCTTTCTCTCTTCTCTGTTTCGCCCCAATATGGTGGCTTTCTGTAGATCTTTCTATTCCATTCCCTTTCCGCGTATTCTTTAGGGACCAGGGACCTTAAACTCCATCCACTCCCCTGTCCAGGGGTCCTCTTGTACTACTTCCAACCAGTCCTTCTTTCTTTTATCCTCCTCCTTCTGCACTCAACAAGCTTCCCCCTCCTCCATTGCCAACTGTCCTTTTTCCCCTGTCACATCTTTTTTCTCTTCAACCTTTCTTGCTGAAATAGTGCCCTCTAGTGAATCCTTCTCCTCTTTTTCCTCCTGCCCCCATTCTTCCAAATATAGTCCCTTTAGGTCTTCTCCCAGGGTGGACATTTGTCTCTCAGTATCCTTGATCGAGGAGACAGATGGTACACTCTGAGGAGTGCCTCTTGCGGTACTCCCAGCCTCACACAGTAAAAGAAGATGATCCAATATGAGATGGATTATTTATTTTATTTATTTATTTAATTTATATCCCGCCTATCTGAATCACATAGGACCACTCTAGGCGGCTAACTCAAGGAAGGTTAACTCAAGGAAGCCACAGCCTTGAATTTGCAGAATCTTAATTAACTGAATTCCAGTATCAGTATGAATAAAAGTAACTGTTAGAATCTTTGTGTTAATTAAAACGAATGAATGTTTTAGCTGCAGTTGATCAACTAGAGAATATCAGTTAGCAACATATATAAAATGCATATAGAATTCTGAAAGGCAGCAGGATTAGAAACTACCTTTTCCATGTTAGAAATGATGTGTGTAAATGTGTTCAAGCACAAATACTTTAGAAATGGTCCAGAAGAAAGAAAGAGATAACAGACTTCTTAATTGGTTATAACTTTTTAAAAAATCATTCGTTATTACTACTGTACTGCTATATTCATTACTGGGATGACTGGAAATAAAGGTCACATTCCAAAGAGCCAGAGTTGTCCAACATAATTACAACGCAGATTATACATGGCCACTGACTTCCAAAAGCTGTTTTGACAAACCACTTCCCCAGGGGTAGGTGGGTGAGAAGAACCATCAGTATTTCTTGCTTTTTGATTTATTTATTGTCCCACCTTTTGTGAAGCCTACTCATATCACAGCTATTCTGAAGTAAAATTCTCTTACTGGTTAGTGGCACCAAAAGACTGAGGGTTTAGGCACCTCTGAGTTGTAATAGCTACAGCTAAAAATAAAAATAAGGTGTAGTAAATTTGTTTGTGTCACAATTCTAATGGCTAAGTTCATAGCTATGTACAGTGGTGCTTCGCATTACAACATTAATTCATTACAGCAAAATCACTGTCGAACAAAAATGTCGTAATGCGATATTAAAAAAACCCATAGAAATGCATTAAAACCCAATTAATTCGTTCCTATGGGCTTCAAACTCACCATCCAGCGAAGATCCTCCATACTGCGGCCATTTTCGCTGCCTGTGCAGTGAGGAATCGTCCCAGAAAACAGCGGGCGGCCATGTTTTTTTCCTGGCGGCTATTTTGAAACCATCGATCAGCTGTGCGAAACTCATCGCTTTGTGATTGGTTACCGAAGCAGGGAACCGATCTTCGCAAAGCGAAATTCCCCCATAGGGAACATCGTTTTACGGTTGCTTTTGTGATTGCAAAATCTTCAACGTCAAGTGATTTCGTCGTCAAACGGAACGCTCGTAATGCGAGGCACCACTGTATCTATACACAATATGTGCTTAGTTCAAATTTACACAGGGTCCTTTCACTTCACATTGTGCAGCAGCTGGCAAACAGTGGCTCAAATCCTGTTGCTTAGTGTAGTAAAGTGAAATTGAAGAGTGTTAGAGAAAATTTGTTGGACTAAGGGGTCGTGCTGAAAGCAGTGAAATTAGCTTGGTTTAGTCAGATTCAGAAGTTCAGGAAACAGCGTACGTACAACCTTCTATCTAGGATTGTATTTTGGTTCTATGTAGTTTTTAGATCTCTATATTTTTAACTTCAAATGTTCATATTTTAAGCCTCTAGGCTTAAAGATACATGCATTGACATAATTATTTATCTGTCACTATTATTATCTTACAGTAATTAATGATGTAAATGAGCAGCAAATAGTTAATGGACTATAGCAGAGGTCGTCAACCCCCAGTCCGCAGCACGGTGCCAGTCCATGACCGGAGCCGGACCAGGCCGCAGAGACAGACCTCGCCCCATATGCACTCCCCTCCCCACAACTGTTTTGCACGTGTGTGCCAGCGCCGGCGTGAGCACTCCCCCACCCCTTCACGCATGCGCCCGAGTGCCCATACAAAGGGGTGTGCGTGCATGCGTACAGACGCTTGTGCGCTTATGCAAAGTGGGGGGGAGCGCTGACATGGCACAGGCACACACGCTCCCCCACCGCTTCACTCATGCGCCCAAGAGCGTGCGCACATACGCCCAAGAGCACACTCGCACCTGCGAGAGCGCAGGGGGGTGCCCCATCTTCCTCAGAGGCTCAGCCGGTCCGCGGTCCCAAAAAGGTTGGGGGCCACTGGACTATAGAATCAATATAGCCGAGAGTGCAAAATAGATGTAACAAACATTTTATAGTCAAATAACAAAACAGACAATTGCCCACATAATTCTGAGTCACGGTAAATCTCCATAAACCAGAACAAGCTGATGGAATCTGGAAACCATGTTCCCATCCCTAGAATCCACTGTGGGCTCTGTAAGACGTCTGTTTTGTGTATCTTTTTAAAAGAACGTCAATTTCTTGTTTCATTTGAGTGTTTATGGCACAAAAGGCGTAGAGAGGACTGTGCTTTGTTTTAGTGCGAAATTACCACTTCTGGACAGAGTCAAATGGAAATTTACCCTTTATGTGGGAGATTATTTTAGTAGAGAGCATGGTAGTTTAGGCAGGGATGTGGAGACTGCCTAGATACCCTTGGGAGCTGCATTAGATTATGCAGGAGCTGCCAATTTTGCTCCTTCCTGCCATTAATGAACATGTTTTTATATGGTATTTGAAACTCATCCGAATGTTGTAGGGATGAGGAACTGATAATTAGCTACTGCTTCTATTTGCATAAAACAGCTTTTACACACCAGCACAGATATTTATCCAAAAATCTTTTTCTCACAATTTCATTTGAGTATTGCCTTTACATTCCTTCTGCATCTCTCAGCACTCGTTGGTGAGCAATTTACCCCAAAGTACAAATACTGGGCGTCCTTCTTTCAACCCTCTTTCAGGCCACATATGTCAGCTGCTTTCCTTACAGGTTTGTTTGCTATGTCCTACTCACACTGATGAATTATTACAGTTGTGATTTACACAGTAATCTTGCCTTGATTGTTTCATAATGTGTTTTGTATAACTCTGGTATGTGGTCATTTTAGAAGGTTGCTGGATTTAATATAGGGCAGAGTCCTTGAGTCTTCAATAACTGCAAAAAAAAGGGGGGGACAACTAACATGAGGGAAAGCGGAGCTACTCAAATTGTTCTTCTGACATAACCATTAAAGCATGCAGCGCTTGAAGTGTGTGTGTGTGGGGGGACTTCATTGATGCTAATCACAGCTATTCCTTACTGTTATATGGAATATGTGTTCATGGTTGTAGTGGCCAATTCATCATCTGGGGCCAACCTTCTAGTAGTGAGCCTCTCTTAGCTAGATTGGTCTTTAGGTGGCAGATGTTTGTGTGTCCCTAGGTCTGTGCTTAAAGCCTTACCGACATGGTGAAGCCTGCCAATATCTTGTACTCAGCTGGCATAGCTTTTGATAGCCCTTGGTCATCTCTATGCCACAAGGAGTTGACAGACTAGGAGCTTATGGAAAAGCAACAATATAATTGCTTCTTTAAAAGGGTTACAGATCAAAGATGCTTCTAATAAGTTTTAAGACATTTTCTTCAAAATATCTGAAGTGCACATGTGTCTTCTGTAGTTTGGTAGACTGACTGAGTTGATCGTGGTATATCTGAAAAACACTGATGTGAGTACAGTGGTGCCCCACATAGCGACGATAATCCGTGCAGCAAAAATCGCTGCAAAGTGATTTCATCGCTATGCGGAAATAAAAAGCCCATAGGAATGCATAAAAACCCGTTTAATGCGTTCCTATGGGCAAAAAACTCACCTTTAAGCGAAAATCCTCCATATGGCAGCCATTTTCGCTGCCTGGTAAGTGAGGAATCCGGGCAAACACACAGCGGGCGGCCATTTTATTTACCTGGCGGCCATTTGGGAACCGCCGATCAGCTGTTGGAAAATCATTGCTATGCAATGATCGGTATGCGAAACAGGGTACCGATAATTGCAAAGCAATATTTTCCGATCTAAACCATTGCAATGTGATCGAAAAAACGATCGCAAAAAAATTCATCGCTATGCGGATTCGTCGTTAAACGAGGCGCCCGTTAAGCGAGGCACCACTGTAGTTGGATAAACAAGCTATATGGTGCTACAGGGAGGATCAGTAGGAAGGTGATTACCCACATGGCTAAGGATTGAGGGTACTAGTTGCCCTCTTATTTAAATGCTGGTGTACTAAACTTTACCTTGTTTCTTTTCCAGAGAGAGGAGAAGCAGCTCGAGCTATCCTTGGAGGCTCTCATCAATCAAGTGGCTGACTTGAAAAATTCATTGGTCAGTTTCATTTATAAGCTGGAGAACGAATATGACCGACTGACCTGGTAAGAGGTGGAACAAAAGTTAGGGAGCCATTCTTACTTTGCAGCAAGGCAGCCATTGCCATGTTTCAAGTAACTTAACACACATTCCAGCATACATTATATTGCACTTTAATACAGGAACCTTACATGATCATCTTAGTCATGTTTGTTTATAAACTGAGGACAAACTTGAGATTTCATGTGCGCCAGATTGTCGGCCAAAAGCTGGACTTCTCTGCAGACTGGTAGTTAATATTTTGAATTCAGTAATGAGTAAATGTTGGGCACATACAAGAGAGTACAGTGGGGTCTCTACTTAAGAACGTCCCTACTTAAGAACAATCCAACTTAAGAACAGCTCCATTTGCTAAATTTTGCTTCTACTTGAGAACAAAAATCCAGATAAGAACAGGAAAAAAAAACTTTCCTGCTCTTTTTTTAACCTTAGGTCATCTTAGGTTTAAAAAAAGTTCTCCCCCTAGTGGTAGAGTACGTATTAACCAGCTTTGCATTAGTTCCTATGGGAACTAATGCTTCAATGTACGAACGCACCTCTACATAACAAAAAAACAGCCAGAACAGATTAATTGGTTTTCAGTCCATTGCTTCAAAATTAGCTTCGTCAGAAGTGCTTTTAACACTGTTCCCTGACCTAAGGGAAAAAATCCCCCTCTAGTGGTAGAAGGCGGAATAGCAGCTTCCCATTAGTTTCTATGGACGGAAAAGAGCAGATACGGATTAAATGGTTTTCAATGCATTCCTATGGGAAATGCAGATTCTACATAAGAACTTTTCCACTTGAGAACCACCTTCCAATACGGATTAAGTTCTTAAGTAGAGACCCCACTGTACTTTTTGTACCAACTTGTTTTGAGGTATAGAGGGGTATGTAGAATTCCTGAACAGGTGCCGTTTGTTTTGATATTTACTATAAATATAAGGATATATGAAGAACTTTTAATTTGCTCAAGGTTTTCTTCAGCCAGCTACTGTGGAACCAGAGTGCTTTTAAATCTTACACCTCATATTTGGAAGTACAAGCTATGTGATATGTTCTCCTCTATACTCATACGTATGCTTCACAGAATAATTCTGCACAAGATATTCCATTATGTGCCATTTTCAGCTCAATATGTTGAGACCAGAAATTAGAGGTGGTTATGATATTGCTGTTGCAGTTAATACTTTTTAACCAGGCTGAGCAACTTCAGGGGGTCTGTGTGTTAGGTCAGAGTCAGATGCTTGAACATCTTCCAAAGAGGCCTGTAGAGCTTTATAGACCTTTAGAAAAAATCAGAAGCTCATGTTCATCACCACTGATATTTATCCCTGAACCAGTGTGAAACAGGTAACCTTTTCCAAGCATACCAAAATTCACCTGGGTATCAAGGTAAAAAGGTTGCTCCATTATTGGAATGATTCCAGGCAACATCAGCTTGCCTATTTCTACAAGCTTTACTTATCTATATTGCTTCTGTATTCCATAAGCATAAAAATACTACAAAGTTGTTGGAAATATGTAACTTTTTGAGACGTTAAAGGCACATTTCCATTATACAGAAAGTAAACAACAGCAATGAAAAACTGTAGGCACAAATATTTGAACAGAAAACCAGTCCTGCAACTTGTGAAAAGCTGCAAGTATGATTGCTATCAAATATTCCTACTAATTCCTGCAAATAAGATTTTATTTTGAAATATTTCTGAGATTGTAGATAGAATTTAATCAGAAAATCTAGTTTAGTAATAAACTTGTAGCTCTAAAAGTACAGACAAGCAATTGTATCATCTTTCAAACCAAAAATACAGGAGTTTATAGTCTGGAAAGGGAATCTTTTTAAAAAGCAGAGAGTACATCTCTTAAAATATCAAAGTAGAGTTGTGATGGGGTTGCCTCAAATGCCCCACTAGCCCAGAGGAGCCCAGGAGAGAGCAAGTCTTTTGGACACCTAGCTAGCAGGGATGTATCACGGCATGTGGAGGAAGGGCACTGCCTGATGCAGGACAGCTGGATGAGAGTGCAACAGCAGGAATAAGGGGGGCAAGAGTTGCAGGACTCTGTCATCTTGAACCACGTCAGATGAATGGGAGATGTAGGAGGAGGCAGCCAAGCACTGGGACTCCATCTTCTGTGCCTCCACAGAGGTGCAAACAGTGATAGAGGACTAACCGATTCAGCTGTAGAAGGGTTTGGGGACCTGCAGCTCTGCCAACAAAGCCTCCAGCTGATCCAGTGTCACTCCAGCCTGGTGTCATTGCTCAGTGGGAGCTGTGAAGCCTGCCCCCAACCCAGCTTCATCACTGGAGATGCAAACAGCAACATAAGCAGCAAAGGGGACTCCAGGAGGAGCCAGGTTCCAATCATACAGCTTTACCAACCCTCCCTAAAAGGACTTTATCCCAGATCGGGAATCAGATTTCCCTCCTGTTTCTCTAGACCTGGACTTTTGGAGACCCCAGTGGAGTCAACTGGGGTCCCATTCGGACTGACTGTGCCCAGGAGGTCAGTGCTAGAAACTCAACTCCCTGGAAACAAAGGGAGGAGACAAGAGCAGTGAGGTTGACTACGTTCCTTTAATAAAAGCTGCTGTGAGTGACCAAACCAGCCTGCAATCCATAGAATTTTTGCAGAGGGATTCCTCAGTTGCCACCCCCTCCCCATGAGGAGAGGCAGCACATACAGAAAATAATGAACAATGTTCTCACCCAGTGAAGACATTCATGTGCCATTTTGCATCTATGGAGCAAAATCCATGATCTCTGTGTGATGTCTCTCTGCTGCTATTCCCCGTATCTAGTGTACGTTGTGTCTCTCTTTTTTCCCTATATTTATACTTCTCTCATTTACTTAATTTCTCATTTACTATAATTACATTTCAGTACTCTAGTAGTTTCATGGTCTAGAGCTTCTTTTTCCTTTCAATTTTCCCCCATTTCCCTTTTCAGTTTTTTACACATTCAGCTGTCAGCTAGCTAGGGAAGAGATTTATTTTACATTGACGTTGCTTTCAGACTTCATTGGGGAAATAGCTAATTGTTTTGAAGTGACGTTTATTATACTGCTTGCTATTCTAACCTCATTTTGTCGAGCACAATGTACATTTTCAAGGTTGCTTTTTTATCCTCCCCTCAATTATTTCAGCAGTTTATATATACAAAATTCCAAACACTGACATGGCAACCAATTCTGTCACCTTCCTAAGGATCCAATAAAAGCCACAATCTTGCTAAAAATTGTTGTAAAAGGCTTTTCAAAAATCAGATTTGACTGGAAGTTCAACTGCAGTTTTAAAAGGGTGCTAAAAGGCTAAATTTCACTAAAGCAAGACCCCACGTCTTGCTATAGAAAATTATCATTTCTTCAGTCTTCCAGAATATAATTCTCCCTGTTTTGAAGAATTATTTGCCAGTGTACAGGGTGATGGTATCCTGCAGTACAGCAAACAAGCAGGTGTGTGTGTTCTCCATCCCACCTTAGGCTGAGGTTCACTTTATTTTTTGGTCAAAACAATGACTTGCCTCAAGCACAGGCAAGAATGCCTTTTATGTCCTCACACTCTTCTGTCTACCCATTTCTGCTGCAGGCCTTCAGTGCTAGACAGCTTTGCTCTTCTCTCTGGGCAGCTGAACACCCTGAATAAAGTGCTGAAGCATGAGAAGACTCCGTTGCTGCGCAATCAAGTCATAATTCCATTAGTGCTCTCCCCAGACCGTGATGAAGAGATAATGGTAAGGATCTGGCTCCAACTTGCTTCAAGTGGCAGGTTGATCGTAGTGAAATAAAAATAGTAGTGGGAGTGAGGGGAAGCAATACAATCATGCATCTTGCCATAAATAGAAATGATTTATTTTCGATGTGAACAGTGCAGAACAGTTGTATATTCTGTCAAGTGGGAAATGCAGAACAGCTGTGAAACTAGGAGAATTTTCCATCCTTCTGTGTGTTCCCCACTGTCCCCTGTGCTCGGTCATCTGACTGCTGATCAATAGATGTAGCAGAATTAGCTGACTGAGCTCTGAACTGATGGAAAGATTACATAGCATGCCTCTATGGATAGCTTTAATAGAAGAATAGGATACAGTGTTGATTTCCAATAGAAATAGAGTTGACTACACAGGACTTCCAATTTAGGTACAGTATTATGTGTTTTTTTAAATTGTTTTCAATGCAGATGCCCTGTTAAGTTGAAAGCAGTAGATTGGGTGAGATCCTTTTTTCTACTGATGACTTGTTTTTTCCCCTGATACATGTGTTGATGTGTAGGAGAATAAGAAATGTGGTCACACCCAAGCTTCCTGACTGGGTGCAGTCCCAAACATCTTGCTGTGTTCCATGTGCAGGCCAGGCAAGAGACAAGAAAGAGAATAGTCGAGGAGGATATGATTCTCCTGTCCCTGCCATCTTGGAAAACAGATGTGACAGATAGCAGCTCTGTCTCCTCATGTTTCATCCTATATTGGCCTCCATCTTTTTCCCCCTGCTGAATCAAGCCATAGGCTCATAACTTAGCAGCCAGGGTTATATATAGCAAGTTTCAGAATTTCAAGCCTTTGCTACCCAGAAAAAATAATATGTGACAACCTGTTACTTGGATCTTCTAGATTCAGAGGCTTGTCTTTGACATTTCTAGGTCATGTGTTAAAACAGTCTCCATAAAACAGCATTATTCAATCGATGTCTTTAGGAAGACAGGGAATCCACAATGGTGAAGTAATTCAGAGAATAATAAGTCATTTACTTTCTTAATACAGTACCTGCATTTCACTGATACCACTTTGAAAGCAACTTGAAATTAAACTCCATGCATGTGTATATTACGTTAAGAGATACGTTGTCTATTCAGGTTCCAACCCTTCCTTTTATAGACAGAGGCAGATGAAGCACAGCATAGGTGATGGTGAAGACAGCAATGTACAGAAGTACTGTAGCTGCTTTGCTTTGTTATGAATTCTGCAGCTGAACTTTCTGTAACTTCTAAGGCTCAGTAACCCACACAAGGGTTTGTATTATCTCGCTTTGCTTTGTGACTTTGTGTACTGATGGTCTGTGTGTTTCAGCGTCAGACAGAAGGAAGAGTGCCAGTGTTTAGTCATGAAGTCGTACCTGATCATCTACGAACCAAGCCTGATCCTGAGGTAGAAGAACAAGAGAAGCAATTGAGCACAGATGCAGCTCGAATTGGAGCTGATGTGGCACAGGTGAGGTTATCTGAAGACAAGAGATTCTGAATTTCTCAATTGTGATTTCTAACTACTGTTGCTAAAAGATGCAACATCTTTTATATTATTTCCCTGTCCTTATATTTTTGCCATTTGGAAAAGCCACCTGGCAGCATGCAAAGCAATTGTATCTGACTGCAGGTGGTCTTATGAAATAGCAAGTAAAATATACTAATATGGTTGCTATGAATTTCATTTGTAAAGAAAAGAAAATTCACGTAAGTTCTGTCAAAGAAGCAAAACTTACACACTCAGTTACAGCTTTCTTTGGGGTTTGAATATTATGCTCCACTTTTGTGGAGCTGTGTCATCTATGCACCCATGTTTGTATTCTAAATATTGTTTTTATTTGCGTTTCGTTCATTTTCAGAAAGACATGGACCACGCCTAATGTACATTTTGGGAAGATTGTGTTAGGAAGCATCATACTGTTGTGTTGGGTTGACTAGGGCAAAGCAAAAGTTTATAGGGACCCAGAGGCTGCCCTTTTATATTACAAACATGAACACACAGAACATAGTGTCCGAAAGAAAATAATCTGGAAGTCTGCAGTATCATATTCTATCAGATATCCAACATATTGTCCATACTTAATAGTATGTGCTATTAAAATTAGGATAGTATGCACTATTCCGACTTTGAAAAATGATTTTCTCCCTATTCCTGAAATTTTGGAGACAGGTCTTGGAGAGGTTTGCTGTAACTTTGTGGAGTGAGATAATATGGGGAGTAAGGTAGGTAACATAGATTATCTGATATTTCTTACTGTTCATTTTTTTGATTGCAGAAACAGATCCAAAGTCTCAACAAAATGTGTTCAAACTTGTTGGAGAAAATCAGCAAAGAAGATCGAGAATCTGAGAGTGGAGGTATGGCACGGGAAAAGTATTGGATAAGTGGTACCTAGAGACAGCAGTGCTAGAATCAGAGACCAGTACAAGAATAACAGGAGCCAAGATAAACATAACAACAATACAAGTGTAGGAAGACAAAAAAATCAAAAACTCTGGTAATTTGGTGGCTTATCTTCTCTATTAATATTCCTCTGTTTTTCAGGCTTACGACAGAACAAGCAGACATTCAACCCTGCTGATACCAATGCACTTGTTGCAGCTGTGGCCTTTGGGAAGGGACTGTCAAATAGGCGTCCACCAGGGGTGGCTGGCTCTGTCCAGTCTGGTCAACAAGGTGCCAACACTATTATAACAGGTGCTTCTGCCATGCAGCAGGTACAGATGTCAGGAGCATCAAACCAGCCACAGCCCATGCTTGGAGGAGTGCAGATACCACAAGCAGGCCAACCAGGTGAATATCAAGTATATTTAAGGAGGTAGAAGGCAAGAGTTATTGATGGCATAAAACAGTACCATGGACACATCTAGGGTCCATGATGTTAAATTCTTACTACTTTACAGATTTCAGAAAAATATATCCATTTGGGTCTCCCTACAGTAGGTATCCCTACATGGTAGATCTCTTGCCTATCAGAGCAAGTGTAGAAGGTGGTACAGTAAAACCTGTAGCAGGAGTAGGTAATATATTACCTACAGGCCAAGTACCATCTCAGCTGCTTTTATGCCCCCATTGGTGTACCCTGAAATTGCATGTCACTGTTTATAAAAAACAGAAAATTTCCTTTTTTTCCTTTCCATTCCAGACAGTATTCTGCCCTTCTGTTCTTTAAGGCTCCGTGGTGCAGGAAGGTACTCAGATAGTGGCAGGAACCTTTACCTAGGCTGCCAGTTGGTGGGCAACAGTAACAGAAAAAGCTGTTGTCTTGCTGTTGGGCTGATAGATTTCTGAAAGGGTGTTTGGTTGGCCACTAGAGGGGCTGAATAAGACTGATTTTTTTGGTCTGATCTAAGAGGGCTCATTGTATAGTCTTGTTGATTTTTATTTTCTGACTTATAAAAACAAGTCCAGTACATTTGCATAAGGTGAAACTATGGGGAGGATTTCTGCAGTTCTGTGAATTAATAGTAAGAGACATATCTTTTACTCCTCAAGAAACTGGTATCCAGTTGCTGGGGAAAGACCACAGAAGTCTCCCCACATCTTTCTATCCCTACTGAGATACAGGTCTTCTTCTTTGTTACACTGCTAACACCTCCTTCATTCCCATTCCAGGTAAGATGCCCAGTGGCATAAAAACCAATATTAAATCTGCTTCAATGCATCCATATCAGAGATGAGGAGGAGGAAGCATTCTGGCCAGTTGCTGCTCCTGGACTTAATTTCAGTGACTTCATTTCTTCACCTCACTTTCAGCAGTGATATTCGTTGTATTTGAGATTTTGTTCAGATAAAGTATTTACATGGTTACATTCATCATCTGAGATGCAAGAAATGTACATGAATCAGAAGACCATACTCTTCATATAGTATGGCACAAGAAGAACATACCTTCCCACCGTTGGCAAGAAGAGATATGTGTATTAGTCAATCTCAAAGGTGAAGCAGACCCTTACTGTATAACCTTATACCAATAAGAAACCTGATCACTTCAGGGAATGTGTTTCATTGAACTTTTTATTGGATGATGGTGGAAGAGATGTATCAGATGTATGATTGAACATTTTATGTACCATTAAGCTAATTTTGTTTAATAAAGACTAGGTGCTGTGCCTTGTATAACCTTGATGTATTTGTGAGTTGAGCCTTTGTCTTGTGTTTTTCATAGATTGCTTAAAATCCAGTGTCATTGAGATTGGCCATTAAATTATCATATCTGCAGTTATTGACACCCCCCATCATTACTCAAGTCACTCTAAATACTAAATGTCTTCAGGAAGGGGAGGTAGGAATTACTGTAAAGCAGGAAAGAGACCAGATAACTTACACAAATGAGTTATACACTTCAGTAAGGATGTGCACAATAAACATTCTCTTACATCTTTTGTTTCAGGTTCTTTCGGGGATGCCTCTTAAATTTTCTTACTTTTCATGTATCAGTTCTTTCATTTTACATTAAAAGAAAAGTTTATTTTGAATTGCCCATTTGTTTTGGAGTTCCCCAATCTGGTTTTCTGGCACTCCAAAACTCCTAAAGAACCCATAAAAACTACTCCAAAAAAGCAGAGGCAAAGCACAGGGAATCAATATACTCTGAAAGCAGACAACATTGCTAACACCTCCTTCATTCCCATTCCAGGTAAAAATATAAAAAACTAGTATGAGTTCATTACCATCCACCAAGCACAACAGACCCACTCGAGCTGAGTAGCACAATAGAAAAAAAAAAGAAGCAGCTAGCTAGCAAGACCCTAGCATACAAAGGTACCCACTCAACAAAGCAACCAACAACACAGCACCAAGTACAAGAAGATCAAAAAGCCCCAATGTGTGCTCAACTGACAACAATAACCACTCATGCACCCGAGTGGCACATTGTCACAGTCATTAAGTCCACACCTCTAATCCACACACCCACAAAAGTGGGGAAAAACTCCAAAATATGCACCCTTAATAAAACAAATGCACAGTACATTAAATGAATAACATGTTTTTAAAAAATCAATCAAACAGGGAAAGCACCTCCACTCACTCACAGGGCAAAAAAATACAATGGCAGCACAGGGAATTAAAGCCCCACAACAAAACAACTGGAATCTGATAACATATCTTTCCCCTGTACCACGTGATGCCTTCTCTTCTTTAAGGTCCAGGAGGCAAGCCAAGCGGTAGCAAAAATAATCCTGGAAAGGATAAGATCATGCCCACCCCCAAGAAATGGGGGAGGGGAATCAGGGGAAACAATCTGGGCCCCCAAAAAAACTTTAAAAATTCAAAAGAAAGGATTTAGGCAAAGTAGGCAGGCAGCAATCCAAAATGGAAGGAACCAGGAGCTCCATACACAGTAACAACTGATGTAAAGTGCATTCCTCATTGAGTTTCAGGCCCTTTACAGACTACTGTACATTTCTTGTTCCCTAACATTTTGGATTGGCTGCTGATGCTGACAGCCCTCATAAGGCTATTGGATGAAAACTTTCTTAGGCTATTTGATAGACAAAAGAGGAAAGGGCAGCAAAAGTTAATATGAAAAGGGGAACATGAAAGATACAAAACTTAAACATATCCTTTCATAAACACCTTTCATATTTTAGAGGCTCTCTTTTGGTAATTGCCAATAGAACATGAATTGGAGGGAAGAGAGCCTCTTCTGTGTTATAGGTCTTTTGTTTAGAGTTGAAAGACCCATATCTACCCTTAACTTCAAGGAAAAAAATGAAACGCATCTGCATTTGATAAACCATCTGGTTTAATTATCAAAATGTATTTCTTTGACTCTGTTCCCTGCATGTGTACTACCTTAGTACCATGTACTGTGGAAAATATTCTGTTGATGCACTGGATTATGGCATCACTGTGTAATACCACTCACTAATTTCTTTCATTCTATTTCCTGTTAAATCTAAATTTTGTTTTCAATTCCTCTGTTTATAATTCAGAGATGTAAAGTCTTACCTTACCAGACTTTTAAAATGTTCTAAAGCTGTCAGTAAGCATGTCTGTGGAAGCAATATAGTAGACTTGATATAATTGCTTTTCAGAAAGCATTTTACAAAAGTCATTGACCTTTTGCACAGTGTATTTTTCAGAGCAAAAGGTCAACAAACTCTACCCAGCCACAAGGACCAGGGATCATTACAGACAAAAGACCAGCTAATGACACCCATCAATCACAGTGACAGATAATCTCTCCTCCTTATCACAACAATACACCCACAACAAGACACACTGATCACCCATGCCCTGAATAGGACAAAACCCTTTCTCACAGCCATAAATACTCTACTCCAAAGCCAACTACACCAGAGCACAGAGTGCTGTCCTCTGAAAATGCCTGCCACAGAGACTGGTGAAATGTCAGGAAGAACGACCTTCAGAGCATGGCCAAAGAACCCGAAAAACCCACTGGTTTTCCAGTTTGTGCCTTTCTAGTTTACATCAATAAGTTGCAGCTAGGTAATACATTGTTACTTTATTATACTTCAAAGAGTGATACAGCATGTGATACTCAGGTATGCATAGCTAAAGTATAAACAAGTTCCCGGCCGTGAAAGCCTTCGCGAATACATTGAAAGCCTCTACGGGGAGGAAACAGTCAGACAGACCCAGAGACTGGAAACACTCTGAAGCAAAAGAGCACACCAGAGCACAGTTTGCTGTCCTCTGAAGATGCCGGCCACAGAGAATGGCGAAACATTAGGAAAAACCACCTTCAGAACACGGCCAAAGAGCCCAAAAAACCCACAACAACCATTAGATCCCGGCCGTGAAAGCCTTTGCGAATACATAAACAAGTTCGTTAGGACAGCAGCATTTGATAAGCTTATCTGTTGCCTCTGATCCGCTTCATTTCCTAAAACATCATCTTTTGCTTCCATCTCCAACCCATGAGAACACTGAAGTAGTTTCTCCCTGCTCTTCCTCATCACTAGGAGGAGGATTTCTATGGCCTTTCATATTTTCTCTGCAACCTACATTTGAACCCATAAATGAGTTCAAACATGTTTATGAGTAATCTGGCCTTTCTCACCAGATTACTCATAAACATGTTCAAACCCATAAGCTCAAGCGTTGCATTAAAAAAATACGACATCCTAGAAATCCTCCTCCTATTCATCACTAAAATTGACACATGCCTCTTCTTCCAGGTTGCCATCCCTTTTTATAGAATTTGCTCTCCTCCACCCTGAGCACTTCCTCCTCATTTAACACTTTCATGTGTTAGCCATGCATTGTGCCTGTCTCCTTCACATGACCCATACATGCAGCAGGCATCTCTTTCAGGGTCCTGATGCCTGGATACTTTCCGGCCACTGACCTGAGTTGTCTCTTCACACAGTGTGTTTGTGGCCTGGCTCAGCTCTTCTTCTCCAACCTTTGAAACTTTGAACTGCAGAGCTGGAAGGGACCCTATGGATCACCAAGTCTATCCCCTCAGGGAGGCACAGTGGGGAATTGAACTCCCAATCTCTGGCTCCATAGCCAGAGGCCTAAGGCACTGAGCTATTCAGACCTGTCATACTGAGTGCCATTAGCATAGCTGGGTGACTCTGCAATAGGAGTAGTGGGGGGTGCAATGGGTGACCTGACTTGGGCAGTCTCACCACAATCATATAGAGACAATGGGATTCAGCCAAGTCTAGGAACTACCCAGTCTGCTATCTGGTCTGGTATTCTATCCTTAACCTAATAAGAATACAGTGGTGCCTCGCAAGACAAATGCCTCGCAGGACAAAAAACTCGCAAGAGAAATGGTTTTGGGAATGAGGTTGATGATTCGCAAGACAAATGTTTCTATGGCCATGCTTCGCAAGAAGAATGCTTTCTGTTTTTTGTTCCTGCCTCATGTTTGCTGATTTTCAAATGTTTTTCTATGATGTTTAAAAAGTTAAAGTTTTTTTAAATGAAAATTTTTAAATCATCTGCACAATATGTATGGCTTTAAAGAGCACTTAATAAACCCTTTGTAAACCAAATTTGACTTTGTTCTGACTTATTTTGCCCATAGGAACACATTAATTAGATTTCAATGCATTCTTATGGGAAAATGCGTGTCGCAAGATGAATTTTTCACAAGACAACATTAACCGCGGAACAAATTAATTTAGTCTTGTGAGGCACCACTGTAAGTCTTTACAACTTATTTCTTAAAGAAGATTTAAGCATTTTGGAACTTTGCTCCAATGGTGTTTGCCATTGCTCATGTCTAGTCAGATTATTGTTGTTTCAATTTATATACCTCCCCCCCTCCAGTGCTAGAGCACTCTCTGGGTGGTTTACAATGTAATTATGCAAGGAACACTTTGCCTGCCAACAAGTTTGGTAGTCATTTTACTGTACTTGGACGGATAGAAGGCTAAATCAGCCTTGAGCCAGATACCTGAGACTGGGATTGAACTCAAATTGTGAGCAGAGGCTTGGCAGCAGTACTGCAGTTCTGTGATTTTAGAATTAAATAGTGTAGTCTCTATTTGAGATGCTTTGTTTTACCACTGTGTTAATGATCATAGATGGAAAAAACTATTACTGAGTTTACTCTCCAGATGCATATAGGAACTCAGACATGTCCTTTAGAATAAGGGATCTTTGAATCTTATCGGTAGTGTGTGCAGGCAGATTGGTCCTCACTCTGAGCTATTTCTCAGGTACATGTCCTTTAGAATAAGGGATCTTTGAACCTTATCTGTAGTGTGTGCAAGCAGATTGGTCCTAATTATGCCTACTCACTCTGAGCTATTTCTCAGGTAAAATGTTGTTTAAGTACACAAAGATGAAAATATACATGATAGCTGAAGTAAGAAGTTGTAAATTGTATTGTAAAGGCAAATTATGAAATGAAGCAATTCTTTAGAAGGGTACGCAATTAATTTAAAGGATCACACTCCTTCTAGTAATAGAGGCTGAGGTTTCTAAGACAAGCCTATGGCTATGAGGCAACCCAGAAAAGTTGTAATGATTTTGGATTAGATGAGTTAAGGGTTCCAAAACTACCGGGAAGAGAAGAAAAAGTGACCAATACTGTATAGAGAAGGGACTTAGAAGTTGGAGAAAGGGAAAGGATTGCAAGTAATTTCTTAAAGGAAAAGGGTTCCAGCAGCTAATCTTCATGCTGGGTTCAGAGCGAGAAAAGGG